GAAGGAGAAGGAGAAGGAGAAGGAGAAGGAGAAGGAGAAGGAGAAGGAGAAGGAGAAGGAGAAGGAGAAGGAGAAGGAGAAGGGGAAGGAGAAGGAGAAGGAGAAGGAGAAGGAGAAGGAGAAGGAGAAGGAGAAGAAGAAGAAGAAGAAGAAGAAGAAGAAGAAGAAGAAGAAGAAGAAGAAGAAGAAGAAGAAGAAGAAGAAGAAGAAGAAATAAGAGCAGCAAAGTGGCATGCCTGTGCCCCTAAAACACAAAGGCAATTTAATGTGCTCTGAAAGAATGTGGCTTCAACCACCCCACAGTGTCCAAAGAGAACTGTGCTTGCTCCCATCTACCCCAGACCCTAGCCACCAGGAAACTGAGGCTGTTCACAGTCACGACTTCTGAAGGGACATGGAAAGCTTTACTGTGGCCCTTTCTACTCTAAACCCTTGGAGGAGTCAGGGATCGTAGAGACTCACCACATCGTTCATCAGTGCAAACTTGTATTTGACTTGTGCCAGGTTAGATGCAGGGAGACAAGGGACCCACGGTGCTCCATAAATAGGACATGTGGAAGACTTTCTTTTCTGTCAGAGCCATCTGTGGAAAACCTTTGTGCTGATTAGAAGGTAACTTCCAAGATTGCTGATCCAGGGAAAACAACGCAAACCAGAAAAGGGTGCTTGAGAAAAGGGTCCATGGAACAACTCAGAGATGATAACGCTGTATCCTAGCAACTGTGTGGACTTGTGTGGGAGGGACTCAACTTTCTTTGGGACCCAGATAGATCTCACAGACCAAACTCAGTGATCCCGACCTCCAGAGTCACTCCTCCCCATACCTGTGTTGACAAGGGAGGCTTTCTATCCATCTGCAGCCACTCAGCTCGCTTCTATCTGCATTCTACCCTGCTCAGAATCCTAAACTGTCCTTGAACCATGGAAACAGCAGTCTAAGGAATCCTGAGACTTGAACTCTTGGTGAAGTTGTTTGGGGTGTGTGTGTGTGTGTGTGTGTGTGTGTGTGTGTGTGTGTGTGTGTGTAGTGTGTGAGAGTGTGTGCACGCCATGTTTGTGAGGGTGCCCACAGAGGCCAAAAGAAGGCGTCAGATCCCCTGGAGCCAGAGCTACAGGTGATTGTAAGCCACTCAATGTGGGTGCTGGGAACCAAACTCAGGTCCTCTGGGAAAGGAGTATGTTATAGTTGACTGCTAAGCCATCTCTCCATTTCCATCTCTTGGTGGCCCCAGCAACACCATGCCCCCCAATACCATCTCTCTTTAAGCCCTCGATGCCCTGAGTGTCACTGCTGATTAGCAGCACAGTGTTACCTCAGAACTTACTCAAAAGTAAATTCCTTGGCACTCCCAGCACCCATCTTCACCTTCTTACTGAACTGGAATGTGCATGTTGGCAAGAACACTTTGGGGTGTGTGTACATCTATATTTCACAAGCTGTAAGCTAGGCCAGTGGCTTTTCAGCTGTAGTGGCTAGAGGACACACTTAGCTTCCCTAAGTGGGGAAATTGAGTGATTCCTTTCCCATTGCTAAAAGTAATGGAGACCTGCACCTTCCCACATGGTCCGAGATGGGAATCCAGGACAGCTAACAAGTTTGGGACTGGGGCCATGCCCTCTTTCTGGGAGGAGTTATAATAGTACCTCCCACTCACGTAGAACTGTGAACAAGGGCTTCCCCTATCTCTAAAATGGACTTCCCCATCTCTAAAATATGCAATGCCACTGTTTGTGGTGGTGCATGCTGGTAGGATTTGCTGAAGGAGGCAGAGGCAGGTTTGAGGCCAGCCTGGACTACACATTTAAAAATAAATGAATAAATAAATAATAAAATATGCAATGTCTCTGTGCCTCAGAGTTACCTAAAGACGCAGGGACTTCTCAGAAGCACAGTTACTCTCAAATAGGACCAGCAGCCACTCCAAGGAGTGGAGATGAGTTTTGACAGTTCATTTGGCTGGGAGGAGCTAAGCTTTGTTGTCACCAAGAAAATAGAACTATAAATGCATGTCCTACATAAGCCACAAAAAGAAATAACAGCTGTCATTCCAGAATACTTCTGATGTCCAGGATCTGGGCTAAATGGATAATTTCAGTCCTAGCATGAGGGTAATGTCACTGATGCCTTCATTATATATTCTAATCCCAGGCCACAAAGGCAGTTTGGCGTCTAAGTCTGCATTCTCAGCCCTACGCCACATGTGACAAGTTACAGAAGAGCTTTGAGTGATGTTGGAAGAGTCAGCTATTGCTTACACAACAGAAATTGTGTGTGTGTGTGTGTGTGTGTGTGTGTGTGTGTGTAGCACTGGAACTCTTGAGGCACACGTGTGTGCGTGTGTGTGTGTGTGTGTGTGTGTGTGTGTGTGTAGCACTGGAACTCTTTGTGTAAGACACACAGACTTAGCAAATTTCCTATGTAATAAAGCAGATCCAACTGTACCTTTTCTGCTCAAGGATGGGAGGAGGATCTGGGAGCCTGGCTTGCTCCCACAGCCCCACCCCTACCCTCTATTCACTCACAGGAAGTGGATCCACCTCTGTGATCTCTGGCCTCTGATATTTCCAACCCAAAATCCACTCCCTGACCTCTTTGTACCTGGGTTAACTGGAAGGTTCTCCCCAGTTCCCGTCTTGCAGGATAAGCCAGGGGCAAAATAAGGATGTGTTTTTGAAGGGAGAGGTCCTGGTATGTGTTAGCCTTTGAGGGATGGGCAGGATATTTTTAAGAATGATGAACTTGATTAAGTGCCTAGGTTACAATTATTGCAAAGCAGCAAGAGAAAGGAAATGCTTCGAGGACGTTGTAATGGAGAATTCAGTGGTGTGAGGTTGTGTACAGCGGTGGTATGAGGTTGTGCACAGCGTAGTGAGAGTTCTTGCCTTGCATCCAGCAGCCCTGGGTTAGATCCTCCAGCACTGAGTAACAAAAATGAGACTGTTGAAACTGAATACCTTGTGTCTAGGTAGAATGTTGGATTTGAACACCTAGTATCTACCTAGACAAAGCTTCAATATAAGCCCAATATTTAGGAAGCTTGGTGAGTTCAAGGCTAACCTGAGTATTATATCAAAGCCCTATCTCAAAATGAGAAAGATCCAGTCCAGTATGGACTTGTATTTAGGCTTAAGCTTGTGCAATAAGTATGAATGAATTGGCATTAGTCCAATCCAAGAAAGGTTTGGGTGTGTGTTGGGAGTGCTGGCATAGTACTAACCGATCCTTAGTTCATGGAGGACCTGTGTCACCTTTAGGTACCCAGAAGCCACAAAAAAAAACCTTAGTCTGAGGCTTAGGCTGTCCCACACCAAGTCACCATTCACCACACTTTCACAAGGGGACCTCAGGCAGACTGGTCAAGGGACCCAAGTAGCAGATGACTTGCTGTGCATCTAAAAGACAGGTATCATTCTGTCACTCTGACGATGCCCCTCAAGGTCAATCCGGGAGAGAACAACACAGCCATTTTCTACCACCAGAGCTCTGAACCTGGGAGGGTGGGAATGCAAGAGGCTATATTAGAGTCTTTTAGATATGACCCTGTAGTCAGACTTTTATTTGGGCCACCAGCTCACAAAAAAAAAAAAAAAAATGACATGGAGACATTATTAATTATGAAAGCTCGGCCTATAGCTTAGGCTTGTACCACTAGCTCTTAAATTAACCCATTTATATTCATCTATATTTTGCCTTATGGCTTTTTACTTTTCTTCCATCTTGCATCTCCTGTTTTCTCTCCGTGTCCTCTGGTGTCTCTGCCTTTTTCCTTCCCCGAAGACCTCTCTGTCCCCAGAAGTCCCACCTAACCTCTTCCTGCCTAGCTATTGGCCATTCAGCTCTTTATTAAACCAATCACAGTGACACATCTTCACACCATGTAAAGAAATATTCTGCAACATGACCCATTTAAATAAATAACTAGAAGGAAGGATTGGGGTTCTCATATTTCAAAGGAAGGCATACAACAGTTACCTACGGATAAAAAAAAAAATTCTTAATATGAAGATGGAAGTGGGTGTTTTATTTGTTTGTTCGTATGTTTGTTTGAAACAGGGTCTCATCGCCCAGGCCGTCCTCAAACTTGCTATATAACTGAGGATGACCTTGAACTCCCCAATGTCCAGACTGCAGACGTACACTACTACGCCCACCAGGCCACAAACACAGGAGTATTTACAACCCCCATTAGCACTGCCTAGCACTTATAAGCAACTGTTCCTACTTGTAACTCTTCTGAGTCCCACCCTGTTTCTCTTTGAACTTAACCTGGATGGTAAGGGGGAAATCTTTACAGGACAGATTTACATCTAATACTTGCCTGTTTTTCTCTCCTTGTGCCTAGTTCCATATGTGCTGAAGAGCTGTGCCGAGTTCATAGAGACTCACGGCATTGTCGATGGCATCTATCGTCTCTCAGGCATCACCTCAAACATCCAGCGGCTAAGGTAAGCCAAAGGAAGAGCCCAGGCTTCTCCAGGGATCCTGCCTTTCTTGTGTCTCTGCTGGCGCTTGTTGGGAGTCCCAAAAAACTGAAAGATGGCCTCTGGGGGTGCAGCTGCCTGGCAATCCTAGCTCTAATCAGGAGACTCCCAGCCTGGTGGAATTCTTTCCAAGGAAAACGCCTTTTTCTTTGTCTTGGGTAGGGTTTATGCGTCTTTGACGGATTGGATTTACCTCACATGATCTAAATTACAAGTTAGGAAACATGTTTTTTTTTTTTTTCTAAAGCCCAGTCAGATTAGGGCCCCTCACACAGTGCTCAGAACTCTAAGGCCCTGAGGAGGTTTTCTTTGGATGCACTCTTGATATTTCAGATGGTTGAGAAATTAGAAGCCTGCATAATCGTACATTTCTCTAATCAATGCTGATATTTTTAAGTTACTTGGGACCAGCGATATGGCGCCACAAGGAAAGATGCTTGCTGAGCAAGCCCCGTGGTCTGAGTTTGATCCCTGGAACCTGCATAAGCAGGAGGAGAAAACTGAATCCACAAAGTTGTCCTCTGACCTCCATATACAACCAATGGCAAGTGTGCCTTTCACCTCCCCATACACCAGTAATTTTTTTAAATGGATGATGTATAAGAACCTTTAACTTGAAAAAAAAGATATGTATAAAGTGTATCTAGAATATATGAAATATATTGAAATATATAGGTATTTTTCTGTGATTATTGCAATAGGCTTATTATTTTGCCTATTATTTATGATACCGAAAGAATATTTAGTGGTTTAAAAAATATATTTATTATGTATTTGTTAATTATAAATATCAATTCTAAAATAATAAGAATATACATTTAAAAATTTTTTGAGACAGGATCTTACTCTGTAGCCCAGGCTGACCTGGAACTCAGGTCAATCCTCCTGCTTCTGTAGAACACTCACTGCAAGATCAGTATGGAAATTGTGACATATTATGTTTATTATATATTATATAATTCAGGTTTTGTCTTCTCCCTTCTCTTTGGTCCTTCATCCCCAAATCTCACTTGTAATTAAATTATAGCAAAGAATAAAACACTTTGATGGATTTTTTTAAAAATTGGTTTATTACAAGTATAGTTGTTTTATTTTATTTTTTTAATTTTGTAGTGCTGGGATGAAACCTAGACCCTTGCGCATGCTAGCCAAGGGCCCTAATGTTGAGCTATACCCCACCCTTATTGGGCATTCGTGAACCTGTGTACATGTAATTTAATTTACAAGTGTGCTTTTTGTTATTGTTGTTGTTAGGATTTTGTCTTGCTTGGTTTTAAAATGGGGTGTTACTTTGTAGACTAGGCTGGCTTTAAACTCATGGGGATCCACCTGCCTCTGCCTCTGCCTCTCTGCCTCTCTGCCTCTCTGCCTCTCTGCCTCTGCCTCTGCCTCTGCCTCTGCCTCTGCCTCTGCCTCTGCCTCTGCCTCTGCCTCTGCCTCTGCCTCTGGGCCGCCACACCCAACCATTTGTCTGACTTCTTCATTTTTTAAGACAGGGTCTCACTCTGTACCTCAGACTAGCTTTGAACTCACAACCCTCTTTCCTCATCCTCCACAGCCCTGGGATTACAGGTGTGTGCCACTATGCATGGCCTGAGTGTGCCATGCCTGAGAATTTCACTTACAGCATGTTTTTCTTCTTTCTTATTGGGGACCAGCACTGGGCCTTGAGCTCAGTCAAGCGCTCCTCACTGAGCTTCCCTCCCAGCCTCTACTCCCAGTTGTACCTCCTAGGGGTTGAGTCTTGGTCTGAAGGGCATGGGGGCTGGCATCCCACAGAGACACATAGGTAGAGCGAAGTCCTATTCTTTTAAAGACTGCCTTAGCCTTGACCAGGGAAAGTTTGGACAAAATGAATGAATATAGTCTAGATTCTTCTCTTCTGCTCTCAGAAAAACACATGCATGTGTGTTCACAGATTCGTGAGACAGCTCTTCTCAAGGCCCATGAGTTGCCTTGAGGTTCTTACAGTATTAGAGAGTTTCCCTCTCTTCTTTGACAGGACAGAACCAGAGTAGGGGTAGGCAATGGGCTGATTTGAAAACGCTGATTCTCAGCATTGATCACTACCTTACTGACCAAGGAATACACTTAGAATACACTAACTTCTATATTAAAACTAAAACTTGTCATTTAAAAACCATATATGTGGTTTACAAGGATGTAAGGTTTGAGGCCGTGCATTCATGTAACCTTGTAAGGGGATATTTTCTAATTTGACTCCGAGCCTAAACTGGGGCTGGTGGCACAGGCCTGTGACCCAACGCTCAGGAGGTTGAAGAAGCAATGATGTGAGTTCAAAACCAACCTGGTCTACACAGTGAGTCCCTGTTTTTTTTTTTAAAAAAAAAAAAAGGAGCAAAAGAAAAGAAAATGAAAGGAAGAAAGAAAGAAAGAAAGAAAGAAAGAAAGAAAGAAAGAAAGAAAGAAAGAAAGAAAGAAAGAAAGAAAGAAAGAAAGAAAGCACAGAACCTGTGATTATCTTGGTGTTCCTAGGATCCCACTGTGAACTGCTCAGGTTGGTCCCACACACTTGTGGGACATGCCAGAGTCACCACCAAACAACCCAGAAAATTCCACTGAGCATCAGAGAGGTAGTTGAGTTAGGTCCTCAAGCCTTGGGTTTGACTATCCAGATGAAGCGAGTTTGTGACAAGACTGTGGAGATCGATGATAAGACATGACACCCTCCCCACCCTGGTCCGCCCCACCCTACCCCACTTCCCCCGTTTTGGATCTCACTGGTTAAAAAAAAAAAAAAAAAGGAGTTTAATTTTGAGTAATGTCTTGGGAAAACTGAAATCTCAGTAGGCTCTTTGGGCAAACTTTTCACACCCTCCCAGTGCTCGTGACCAAGGCCCGGATGGATACAGTGCTGTGGGGAAATCTGTTCTCAAATGAGCCGTCTGACTTCAAGTCACAGCCTACCTCCAAGCAAGCCTCAGCCTCCAAAAGTGGGGTCTCTCCAATGGCCTCCTGGTGCCCATAGTAGAACGGAGGTCAAGAGGACAGGCAGATCAGCAATGTGGGCTCTTTTTAGCCCCCATGCCTCCGAGCAGCTGCTGACACAGAGCACATGTTCCCTGGGATTGTTATGTCTCCGTCTGTGCTGTTTCAGGCAAGAGTTTGGCTCAGATCAATGTCCAGATCTGACAAGGGAAGTGTACCTCCAAGACATCCACTGTGTGGGCTCCCTGTGCAAGCTCTACTTCAGGGAGCTGCCCAACCCCCTCCTGACCTACGAGCTCTATGAGAAGTTCACGGTGAGTGTTTGGCTTTTCATTGTGGTTAGCGGGTGGGATGCAGGCACCGGCCAAGGGCAGTTTCGACACTGAAATAACAATAATAAAACTCGCCAGCTGGTTGGCATTATCTTAGCCCAGTGGTGGACGTAAGATGGCCGAGGGAAGGGGAGCTGTGGGACCGTTTGCTAACCGTTTCTTTCTTGGGTTTTCAGAATGATGCTGTTTGTTTTAAGAGCTGGGTGAAATTATGTCTTTGTGTATCCAACTGAATGCGCCTCATTGTACAGGGAGGAAACTGAGAACCGAAGGAGTAAAGTGGCTGGCCCAAGGTCACACAACAGAGGCAGGGCAGGAATCTGAGCACCCCCCCACCCCCACTCTCACCCCCAACCCCGTGCTTGCTAGACGCCATGATGGTTCCTTTTCAAAAGAGTGTTCCTGCTGTGTCTGGGGTTGGGCTCAGGGAGAGAGACCGGTAGGTAGAAAAGGGAGAGAGAGAACCCCCAAATATCAAAAGATAGGTCAGAAAGCTAAGAAGAGAAAGGAAATGGGAAAGTATCCGGACCAGGCGGAGAGAGGATGGGACGGGATGGTGGGCTGCTGAGCCGAGGGCAGAATGGTGGCATCCTAGCATCCAAGGTGGGCTTGGCAAGGTAGCCAGACACAGGGAGACAAAGGCTGCATGTTTTCACTCACATTCTGATGCATGCTCCGGTGTGTGTGTGTGTGTGTGTGTGTGTGTGTGTGTGTGTAAGTGAGTGTAAGTGTAGGTACAGGCTAGGACACTAGAGTGTAGACCCAGAAAGGGGGAAAGAGGTGTGCAGGAAATGGCGGGCAACAGGACACATGAGACATGAATATAGAGAGAGGCTTTGGTGGGTGGCAGGGGACAGGGAGGGGGGGGCGGGGGGGGGGGGGCCGCTCAGGCAGAGGGCAAAAAAGGAGAGACTTGACAAGAACAGATTTTGTTTGAAGGTATTATAATGAAAACTAATACCAAGCGATTAAAAGCTTTAATTGAGGGAACCAGCTTCCTCTCCCCCTCCCCCCAGGGTACTCTTGAAGAGGGAGAAGTGAGTTTAGATAGAAATATAGAAGAGAGAGACAGTTAGAAACACAGGGTAGCCTCGGGAGGGCCTGGGTCAAAACCCACCAGCCCCTTCTGTCTCTGCTAAAGGGCTTTTAAGGGAATGCCAAGGGGTGGAGCAAAAGACCTCCCCCCAGCACAGGCAAGCCATCCCCTGATGCAGCCCTGCTGTGTAAAGCAAGCTCAGATCTCACTAGGAAACCTTTGTGGGCTCCCACATTAATAAATAAGAAAGCGAAAATCGGGCTTAACGCGTACGCCTACAGAGGTAGATTGTAGAACAGGGGGGTTGATGGAAAAGCAAAAGAAGAGGGGGGGGTGCCAAAATACTGGACCACATCATCCAGTCTGGGGAGGAGAGAAATGAGAACAGATCAGAGGAGTACCGGGAAGGTACTTGCTCATCCCTGCAAGGCCTGTTCCGTGCTGGAGGGCAGGGGTCAGGGGACCGCTCGGATTAGCATCATAAATAGAAATGAACCAAATCTGGGCTCTAGTGGTGTGACAGGGTGTTTCTCAATATCCTGTAATAAACTTTTGACCACATGAAAGGTTGCTTCATTCAAAATCACGCAGAAATAAATGAATAATTATTCTTTTTTGGTGTTGTTTTTGGTTTTGAGACAAGGTCTTTCTGCGTAGCCCTGGCTATCCTGGAACTCACTTTGTAGACCAGGCTGGCTTCGAACTCACCCAGATCCACCTGCCTCTGTCCCCCAAGTGCTGAGATTAAAGGCGTGTGCCTCCACGGCCTGGCATGAATGATTATTCTCAAGAGGTGGGCTTGGAACTCACAATGGATTTAAGTGTTTTCACTGATATAGGAACAAGGTCACAGTGATCATTGAAAAATAGGGGGGAAAAAAACCAAGAGACATAAATGTATATTAAGAAAGGCTTGGGAGGGCTGGAAAGATGGTTCAGTCATTAAAAGCCACCTGTAATTCCAGTTCCAGGAGGCTCGACACCCTCTGGCTTCTTTGGATACTGGCACACATATAGTGCACATAAACTCACAAGGCACATTTACATACATACACATGCATCTTAAAAGAAAGGCAGGCTTGAGATGTCGAAGTGGCTCAGCTGCCCACCCTAACAACCCCAGCTCAAGTTCATCTCTGAGACCAATGTGATAGAGAGAGAGAACCGACTCCCACAGTGTCATGTGACATGCATACATGTGCCATGGCACACGTGTACACACACACACACACACACACACACACACACACACACA